TATAGTTTTGTTCCTGATGAATGTCATAAGCCAGTTCTGTAACTCACACTCCTGCAAGGATAATAAAACAACAGTTTTTTTAAACCTTTTCTCCACTAAGAAGTGTTTAAAACTATTCAGTGCAGTTTCAAGTTTGAAATCCATGTCTGCATTCAGCTTTGAAAAATTATTCAAACGTTGTCAGTATTGAGTTTTGTCTTGTTGCAGGTAAGATCCTAACATATTTCATTGTTATCTTATGTAGGTATCCGAGATGTTTCAAAATGGAGTGAGAAGGTTAAGAAACCACTTGAAGAGCTGTATGGACATAAGTACTTTGCAGAAACCTGTGAGGCTTGGGTAGATGGAATAGCCCGCTTTGCTGAAAAATCAGGGGGTAAGGCCATGAAATGGTGTTGATTTGAAGCAGTTATAGTAGCAGACAGTTTTGGATAAGAATCCTAGTAGTCAGGAAAGGAAGGCCTCTTCGTATGGCATTAAAAGCTGGGTCTGGCTCACACTTATGAATAAAGCAGTTACTTCATAGACGTTTCACAGAACCAGCAAGGTACAGGAGGATAAATGGTTTATGGAAATCATTAGCTGATGAGTCTCTCTGCTTGTTCTGCCATAAAACTACATTAGTAAATAGTTTTTGTCATGCAGATTGAACATGAGGGATTCTGCTCAGCTTTTTTCTGCTCTACTTTCTCAGTGTCAAAGGTCTGCCTCTTGGTGACATTTGTAAGCTCTCCAGAATGTCACGTGTGTTCATCTAAGTTTCTGAAAATGGGAGCTGAAACACTGTTTAAAAGCTAGTAGTGTATAATGAGTACAAAAAAAAGGAAGTTCACATTTTGACAGTTCTAACTGAACAAAACATTAAAAAAATACTATTGACACAGCTTGGCTATTTAAAATCCAAAGTAGTTCAATCAGGCAGTATAATCATCCCTGAATGTTTATCTCTGAAGATTTGTCCAATTACTCTACAAAGACTTTTGCAACAAAGGGTATGTCGAAAGCCCAGGCCAGTTAAACTTCGAAGCCTCCCTTTATTTCAATAGAGACGACTTCAGACAAGTGAATTTTAGGGTTTTTGTTTGTTTGTTTTCCAAATTAAATACTGTTAACTTACTGTCTTTAAGTGGCTCAACTAGTTTATACTCTTCACATATAAAAATAAAATCTTTATTGAAACATAGGTTTGTGTGCCATGAAATTTAGTGGTAGATTAGTTGAAATTTATCTCCTGTCCCCTGTATTTCCTGTCAAGCCTCCATGGAGCCTGCTAAGCTGCTAAAAAATGTAGAGGTCTGTAATGCTCAGCTCCATTTTAGGGTCAGTTCTCTTTAATGTTTTCATAAATGACTTGGATGCAGGACAAGAAATTGTTTTAAGCATGTTGATGATACTAAACTGGGAGAAGTTGTTGACTCCATCAAGGATGGAGATACCTTGTAGAGAGATCTTGACAGATTAGAAAGCAGGATAGTCACCGACCACATGAAGTTTAACAAGAGTGGGTGCTGGATTCTGCACCTGGGAAGGGGCAGTCCTGGCCATATGCACAAACTGGGAGATGAGATGCTGGGGAGAAGCCCCACTGAAAGAGATTTGGGGGTCTTATAAACCTATGTAACAAAACATAGCATTGAATGCAAAAAACAACAAAAACTAAGGTTGAAGAGAAGAAAGCAGGGCTGGGGAAAATAGCTTCATTTGCTGTGTCTGTTTCTGTTAATGACCACTAACAGAGCAAATTTCAGTGCTTGTGCGCTACTTAAAAGAAATAAATATTAGTCCTGTTAACACACTTCTGTGGAATAATTGCATGCTATCCACAAGGAGAAACAATGGCTAGAACCCAAGTGGAGTTCGAGTCCTTTGCAGAAACAGCTTTGGTCTTTCACTTTTATTTTTTTTATGAAATGCAACCTTCATTTATTTTCTCCCTAGGTAGTATCTGTCAACAGTTGCTGCCTCATATCAAATGTCCTACATTAATAATTCATGGTGAGAAAGACCCTTTGGTTCCACGCTTTCATGCAGAATATATTCATGAGCACATCAAAGGCTCCCGGTAAGTTACACGATGGACTGTTTCTAACTGATTGTTAAAGAAAAGAAGAAATTAAAATACACAACGTTAAAAAAAAAAAAAAGCATTTGGACAAATCAGTCCTGCTGTAGATGAAACTATTCTCAACTTCCCTCTCAAGTTATGTAAACAGTGTATTTGAGCCTTTATGTAAAAAGAAAGAGGAAGCAGTAATTCAATAAGTACCTTCCTAATATTCTCCAAAAGAAACTAAGGAAAGTCCTCTTGATCTCTTCACCTCTCACCAGATATATATCTTTTTCTTGTTATAGTCATTGCATTCCTTATCTTGTGAGATACCTAACTTCTGTTCCACTCAGTGAGCAATGAATTTAGATGCTATGGATAGAGCAAGAATACCAGCTACTAGAGGGAGGCAGACAATACTCTTATTGATGTGAGCAACAATCTCTAAGATTTTATTTTCAGAAGTTCCTTGAATTTGTTGTTTCAGAAAAGTGACATGGAAAAAAAAAAATCATACAGCTGTGTTGAAGTATTACTCCATAAACAAGAAAAGTCAAGACATTCATTCTGAAAACCCAAAAATGCTACCCATAAAAAGGAGGGATTCCACTATCTTTCTTTTCTTCATAGATTTGCATATAAATTCAAGGTTTCTATTACTACTCAGCAACAGATCATGCTGATGAACACTCAAGAGAAGAATTAGAACTGAAACATTTTTATGAATGCAAAGTGTAAGAATCTGTTTCACTGATGTCACCTCTGTGAGAAATTGAGTGAGATGTTTACCTTAAAGTCAGCTCTGCCATTCATAAAAGACATTATGCAACAGGAAAGATAGGGAAACCTTAATAACCACATACAGATTTTTATTTTAAATGCTTGACAGTCAGTTACTGCCACAGATGCCCTGCTTAGAATACCTATAGTCATGTTAGATTTCCCTGAAAAATGCTCTAAGGCATGCCATAACAAAAACTAGACAAAGATCAGATAGCTTCTTCAGAAGGACCACAAGGGTAGAGAGTGTTAGAAGTTGCCAAACAGTAAAATGTAAAGCTGTTCTTTACATGTCGTTGTGCTGAAGTGCTCTCCCATAAATGCATTTACCCACTAAGGAATCAAACCAAAGATTAAATATCAGAAATACAGAGAAAAGACAGGCACATGACCTCCTTTTTCTCTTGTTGCACTAAAGATAGTTCATAAAAGGTGGAAAGTTCTAAGGTTATTTTCAGTAATAATTTGAATATCACCTTTTCTTGCCTTGATTTCTCTCTGAATAGTAAATTAGAAAAGGTGTTGTTTGTAGTGCAGATACATTGATTCTGTCATAAGCATGCCATCATTCTGTATTTGTATGGCTAGAACATTAGGTATATCACTGTGGATGGTATTCATGAGTGCTGTTCTGTTTGCACATCTGTATATTGCTTTGTCTTTGAAGAAACAGTCTTAGTGAAATTCAGACAGAAATACTAGAACTACATATGTTCACACTGGTGCTCTTTTCTTCCTGAAACTAAGCATCACTTGATCAACACTAAGAGAATTATTGCCTTTGCTGTAGCGGGATTTAAGTGGCATGAAGACAGCACAGCAAAGTATCAGACAATGTGGTCTTTAGCTGTTGAAGCTGATAAAAGCTGTTAAACAAGGAGTTTCACAACATGATATATGTGCTAGAAGTACATACATGAAGTTTTTCCCAGAGAGAAAACAACAGCAATTAGTTCAGTCTTGTCTCACCTATCAGTTAACAGCTTAAAGATTTAGACTATTCAGAGACCCTCCTAAACCTTTTTGTAGCTTAAGTCACAATTCAACTACAGAAGTACAGACTTCACTTTTTACTCTAAAAAGCAACAAAGGCAAAGCAGCTGAGGTGTTTGACATACCTTTAGATGTATCCTACTCACCTAAATTTCAGCATCATCTTTGCACACCACTGAAGAGGTTCTTAAACTAGGTCTGAGACACAAATGTGTTTAAAGCATAGTTTATCCTTCCCAAAGTGGAGGAAATATTTTGTTGTTTCAACTTATCCTGTAGTACACATTCTGATCCACATACACACAGTGCATCAGTGTTACACTGATATTTTTACTTGGGAAACCAAGAGCAAAGGAAAAGGACAAACTGTTTACTTGTGCTCCCACAGTATAGTGCATATTCAGAATATTGTTTTTTTTTTCCCCCCCTCCTTCTTTTTAGGTTGCATCTCATGCCAGAAGGAAAGCATAATCTACATCTCCGTTTTGCAGAAGAGTTCAACAGAGAAGTAGAAGAATTCTTACGGTGACCTAAACTGTAAAGTTAGAGGCATTTGTCCTTGCACTGTTTAGGAAATTTAGTGATTGTGTTTTTCATTCACATTAGGTATGAGTCTCATAAAGAAAAGAAAAGAAAAAAAAAGATATTTCCATGACAGGGATCCATATTAACAATATATAAGTCTCTGTGGATCAGAATATGCCACTGTACTTCAAGACATCTAACGTGCCTTGAAACTTAATCAGCCAGTGGGGCAAGAAATAGCTGTTCTTTGTCTGATGGGGGAGATAAGAAAGACAGAAAACATAATCTAGAATGCATGCCTTTATGTGCTCTTAACATTATGAAGGACAAAAAAACCACTGTAATAACTTGGAATTCAGAACTGATACATTGATAAAATCTGTCAAAGTTACAAGTGCAAAGAGGATAATTGGGTACACAGCATCTAAAGAACATGCTTTACCACTACTATCAAAAGTCATTCCATACACATGCCAGCTTTAGAGAGGTTCTTCTGATAAGAGGGAACTTAAGCCTCATCCTCCTCTCCTTCCTCTTCAAATTCACCCTGCTCATCAGC